ATACGAAGTTATACGAAAAACATTAATCTAGGCATGTTTGCAATCTCGCCGCTCGCGGTGTAGCTACATATAATGGAACACTGTTATTGCTACGCTGTTATGGCGTGCGCACAATGTTCGTTTCGTGTCTCTTCCTCCTCCTCGTCGCCGTCGTCGTCGTCGTCGTCGTCGTCATCGTCGTCGTCGTCGTCGTCGTCGTCGTCGTCATCGTACAGATTGGAGGCGCGCACGTGTGTGCGCCAGCGACCAAGATTAATATTTCGAAGGTAACGAAATGACGACGCGAAGATTCGTCGAGAACGACATTGGGCGTCGAGAACAACACGGACACAGGTGTTTTGTGCTGTGGGAGGGGGGGGGGTATCCGTTATCGAAATATCGATGTGTCGCTTAAAAAATATGGAGCACTCGCGAAGGCAGATTAGCTTTCTAAGGATACTGCATGTATATTAGCAATATTTTACTTGATTAATTTAAAAATAATACATTTGCATAGGATATTTGCAGTGATATGTATTTAATAATACGTAAATCTACAATTTTATATTACACTTATTATGTATGTATGTAATTATTAAAATGGTCGATCAATCTAATTTTTAAATTCTCGTTTATTAATTTTTGCTATATCAAAAATATGCGCTTACATCCTTCTTCTTTTACTTTAGTCGCGCTTCTTGATTAAATAAATAAAATGTTTTTGCAATCCGAATCATCGGCGTATCTCTTCCCCTTCTTCTCGTTCGTTCCATCCCTCATTAAATGGGAACGATGGATCTGCCAAGAACACCGCGAGGATTATTACCGAGAGGCCGGCACATCCCTTCAGCGCCCAATCGTCGATGTCCTTAGAAGGGCCGCCTCTCGTTGCGATTTCAACCCTTGGCGGGATGCGCGGCATCAATGGAGGAGAGAGAGGGATGCAATAAATAGCGGACAGGCCGTGATGCGCCGGTCGCATCTTTCAAATGATAAACGAGGATAAATCTGTTCGTTCCAAATAGATTTTAGAATATACGATAAATTACGATAAACTAGACAAAATATAAATCTATTCAATTGATTTTTTTTTTCATAAATCTATTTATCATAAATTTTGTCGTAATAATTAATTGAATGGAAAAAATTAAAATTATTACAATAATTAAATATAAAGACATTTATTAAATGACAGAAAAAAATATTAATACTAAATTACATAATCAAGAATTTAATTTACTAACGACTTTTCCTAATGCTAAATTTATACATTTTAAAAATTATTTTGTTATGGAAAAATTAAAATATATGATACAGCGTTATAAAAT